CACATTGCAGTCATTTACTGTTTTTCAAGAGTCGTGTGTTTTTAACAAGCTTAGAAACATGTTGTAGCTATATAGTTTTCAGACTTAGAAATGCGAATGTAACTCCAAGTGTTAATTAACGTAGAGGCGATACCTTAAATTGTTTCCATAAATTGTATATATAGCACGCATTAGTATACTGCTTATTTTGCTCTTAATCATACAGACTAAATATTGTTTGCACGAAACGGGTCGAAACGCTCGGCGAGTTTTACACTATAATCGTGCAAACGTATTTGGGAAGATATTCATAAGTGATTTATAATATATACAAGTACAAGTTTCAGCATAAGTGTTTCTTGACGTCGAGGAGATACGCTTTTTGATTAAGTTGGGATGTCCTTTCACAATTCTAAGACGTACGTATATAGTTTGCATGAATTCAAAAGACAACTGCACGTACTGTTGTTATTTTTAGAACAATTTTTGATAATTATTGTCGTTTTCATAAGTATTTTGGACATCAATTTCCAAGTCATTTCATTATATATTTTTAATAAAATACAATACATCCGAGTCTACTAGCAGTATTCAGGTATTCTAACTAAGGATGACAAAGCCATGTAATAGTCAAGTGCACAATCCGAGTGCGAACCAGTGAGCTCTATATATTTGTGTTCAGAATTATTACGTTTCCTGTATTTAAATATAGTGTGATATTTATTTTATTTTATTTTATTTCGCTCATAATTATCTGGACTAACATTAACAAGCTCCAGCTGAATGCTGATAAATACAAGGAAATGGTTATTGACCTTAAGAAAATAAAGCATGAGTTCAATACGATCACAGTCACTCCAATGAACTCGAGCTAGTGACCAGTGACAAAGTTTTACGTGTTAAGATACATATCCAACTCCCTACAATGGATCAACCATGTAAACAAAAAGAAGGGAAATAAACGTTTGAATTTTTTTATTTTGTTTAAGCGTGATAACGTCCCTGCTCGAGATATTATCAGCTTCTATACTGCACTTGCGTCAGAGCAGTACTCGAGTATTGTGCTCCTGTATTTCATCATGCTCTCCCTGGATATCTGGATATCTTGAACGTATTCAAAAGCGTGCGCTCTCGATTACATCTCCGGGATCCGATAATCTTCAAACACATAATGTTAGTATATATACTCTTAAGGACACGCGTCTGTAAGTGGTATTTTGAAGAAAAACGAAAAACACACATATCATGTATCATTTGTAAATGAAATCCATATCTATCTATGTATCTATCTATCTATCTATTCGACGACGATAAATACGTTGAGCCGATGCGCTTTTTTATTAAGTTGGGATGTCTCTTCACAACTCCAAAACGTATTCTTTGTGTTCAAGACACTGCACGTATAGCGTGGTTATTATTCGGATCAATTTTGACGTACGTATACCTTCCAAGTATCTTATTTCTGTAATCCCCATACCATGCAAACCAACAAAGAACCACACCTTATAAAATCAATAAGGCATGACCCCCCTCAACCACTCTCATATTGCTCCGTGGCTATATATAAGTGCAGACTGTTCAGTACGTTTCACAGAGTTTCCTGATCAGCTGGAGAGAAGACGGTCAATTGCAAATTTGGTGAGTAATTTGAAATAAATTCTCAATTTGTTATTAAAAGTGGTTTGAATGAACTTCACGCTTTGAATGAACTACTAAGTTATATCTTAAAGACTTAATATATAGGTGGGTAGTGAGAATTTATTTAAACACGCTGACCATTTTTACTTAAGGTGTTGATTTTCCACATGGGGTGCCGCGGTATGTGAAGTAATCAGCTGCATGCAACGTACAGCTAGCTATATGATCTTTTTCATACAAATGCATGCTGGATGTGTAAAAACGGAATCGATCGCGATCGTCTATTCTTAATAATGTTGACAATGCTATTTCCTATAATTAGTCTTGTTTTTAAGCTTAACTTGTTCATATTTCTTCGGAACGATCGGCCGTCATTTGTGTCTTTAGTGTAAGAAATAACTGCACATGCAAGGACATAAAAGGACTAAAATGACTATTTCATATGAGCAAAATTGACTTGGTCACCACAGTTGCGACATCATCGAAGCAAGCCTAAAATTTCAGAGATTTAAAGGGGACATTTTCCATTCTGTAAATCCCTGATTCAATGAAGGTCAAATTTTGACTGCTTTATAGTAGTTTTTATGTCGGTTTTTACTGTAGTAAAACTATTCCGAATGAATTCAGTGTTTAATATGATTTGTTACAGAAATCAAACGAAAACGTTACGAGATGGCATACACTCCTATTGAGTGCTACCTTGGTGATCTGCCTGACACAAGCGGTTCTTGTTGTGCAAAAGAATACGGCCTTCCCGGTGATGTCGCTGTTACAGCTAAGGAAATTCTCGTTTATCTCTGGGTCACAACCAAGGGTGATGAGCAATTTCATCGTTATTATTACCAAATCGAGACTTCAGATGGTAAACATTCGTACCCTCAATTCATGAATGTTGCTGCTACCGAAGATATCGTTCTCAACTCCTCCAATTTGTGGCTGCCTGTTTTTAAAGACCAAAGTAGGTGATTGACTTTCTCATCACTAGCGACGCCATCTTGAATCATGATACATGATCGATGGTACGGCCAGGCTAAAAGCCAAATTGAAAAGTCGTGTAAACATGCCATGCGGTAAATTTATTCATTACTGTCATCAACACGTTTTTACAACAATAACGAAGTATAGATCAGCTTCATAAGCAATAGAAGATCCGAGTCTACTAGCAGTATTCAGGTATTCTAACTAAGGATGACAAAGCCATGTAATAGTCAAGTGCACAATCCAAGTGCGAACCAGTGAGCTCTATATTTGTATTCAGAATTATTACGTACATGATCGATGGTACGGCCAGGCTAAAAGCCAAATTGAAAAGTCGTGTAAACATGCCATGCGGTAAATTTATTCATTACTGTCATCAACACTTTTTTACAACAGTAACGAAGTATAGATCAGCTTCATAAGCAATAGAACATCCGAGTCTACTAGCAGTATTCAGGTATTCTAACTAAGGATGACAAAGCCATGTAATAGTCAAGTGCACAATCCAAGTGCGAACCAGTGAGCTCTATATTTGTATTCAGAATTATTACGTACATGATCGATGGTACGGCCAGGCTAAAAGCCAAATTGAAAAGTCGTGTAAACATGCCATGCGGTAAATTTATTCATTACTGTCATCAACACTTTTTTACAACAGTAACGAAGTATAGATCAGCTTCATAAGCAATAGAACATCCGAGTCTACTAGCAGTATTCAGGTATTCTAACTAAGGATGACAAAGCCATGTAATAGTCAAGTGCACAATCCAAGTGCGAACCAGTGAGCTCTATATTTGTATTCAGAATTATTACGTACATGATCGATGGTACGGCCAGGCTAAAAGCCAAATTGAAAAGTCGTGTAAACATGCCATGCGGTAAATTTATTCATTACTGTCATCAACACTTTTTTACAACAGTAACGAAGTATAGATCAGCTTCATAAGCAATAGAACATCCGAGTCTACTAGCAGTATTCAGGTATTCTAACTAAGGATGACAAAGCCATGTAATAGTCAAGTGCACAATCCAAGTGCGAACCAGTGAGCTCTATATTTGTGTTCAGAATTATTACGTTTCCTGTATTTAAATATAGTGTGATATTTATTTTATTTTATTTTGTTTCGCTCATAATTATCTGGACTAACATTAACAAGCTCCAGCTGAATGCTGATAAATACAAGGAAATGGTTATTGACCTTAAGAAAATAAAGCATGAGTTCAATACGATCACAGTCACTCCAATGAACTCGAGCTAGTGACCAGTGCCAAAGTTTTACGTGTTAAGATACATATCCAACTCCCTACAATGGATCAACCATGTAAACAAAAAGAAGGGAAATAAACGTTTGAATTTTTTTATTTTGTTTAAGCGTGATAACGTCCCTGCTCGAGATATTATCAGCTTCTATACTGCACTTGCGTCAGAGCAGTACTCGAGTATTGTGTTCCTGTATTCCATCATGCTCTCCCAGGATATCTGGATATCTTGAACGTATTCAAAAGCGTGCGCTCTCGATTACATCTCCGGGATCCGATAATCTTCAAACACATAATGTTAGTATATATACTCTTAAGGACACGCGTCTGTAAGTGGTATTTTGAAGAAAAACGAAAAACACACATATCATGTATCATGTATCAACACTTTTTTACAACAATAACGAAGTATAGATCAGCTTCATAAGCAGTAGGATCAATGGATTTTTGGTGGTGTCCAATGTCGCTGTTGGCATAGGTAGCCCAAGAATACGTGTAGAATGCACCAAATGTGAACTTTTGAATAAGCTCGCCCAGTATTCCTTCAAGCGCGGTCTAGTCTGTGGTCTAATGAAAAGCACTGTGTATATGTATACTAAAGACCTAAGGTTGACAACTATATTCAATTAAGTTTACGAACATACGACTTTGCATGGCAAAACCTAAAATACTTCGCACACGTAAATAAAACATGATAAAAAATCATTGCACATTAATTTAAACCCTGATGATTTACTCACAAATAAATTTGTTTAAGATACTGCAAGAAAGCTGAAAAAACGCTGAAAAAACTAGCTTGAATCAATTCCCTCTTGCTATGCTCTATAGCAAGAATATTTAAAAGTGAATATGTTTTCTTTACAGTCCGCGTACGTCAATCGTAATTTTTCATTATTTTTTTTCATTGTGGAAAATTTCTGAAGCAGATATTTAATAAGTTTTTAAATTTAGTTAACTTATTATTAATTTGGACCGTTGTGAAAACAATCGTGTTTGATGGTGTATAGGCATTTTATTTTGGCTTCAACGTCTTCTGGCAGGCTATTGTTCCAGCATAAATACATCGAGTCCACTGAGTTCAACTGAACCAAATAAAAATAAGAATAATAAAGTAATATTATCCGGTTGAGGACGCGTAATAAGTAGGCATAATTAATAGAAAGCAAAGAATAAATTGTACTCAATACCCCTCCCCCCCCTCGCAAATTATACATGCAACCCTGGAAAAAATCTGTCGCACATGCTTCACGAATTCCACTTCCATTTTATGATTTAATTTCACCTCTTCTTTAGGGAAAGTTAAGGTGACTTTGACGGACGCTGAGAAGTCGGACAAATCTAAAAAGGGCAAATGTATTGCACATAAACGTCGAATAAAACAACGTCGCAACGATGGGACAGAAGAAGATATAGATGCACACAGTCAAATATTTGTCATAGGTTATCGCTGATGTTAAACTATCATACGCCTTTCTTATAATATGTCATGTCTGATTTCTACACCAAATTCCCAATGATTTTCAGTGTGTACGATGCATGTGGTTAATAAATAAAAAGTGCGTTCAACCTTTCATTGAGTGTGCTATTTCTTTTGCTTAATTAGGGCGATTGGCCACCCTCAGTCGTGCGCTTCTGCGAGGCGCACTTATAAACTATAAATATACATGCATGCAATAACCCCTCGCACTTTCAAACAAAAACAACGGTATATAGTTCCTAAACTGTTTTTTCCACATAATCCATTTCCAGCAAAGTATTAAGAAAATATAATTAAAACAAAAAGTTGTCCAAATTTATTTTATGTTGTTTGTATTATAATCATGCATAGTTAAAAAAAATGAATAGGAATCTGGCAGGTAGCAGCAGACCAACTTATTTGAAATTCTTGATGTCACGATTAATTGCGAATACAATGACGTTTTGCTGCGTTTTCTTTGTGGATTTTCCAAAATTTTTGGCATTCAAGTAGCTGTATTGCTACAAATGGGCAGGCATACACTGCACAGTAAACATGCGATAAAACCCTGTCTAAACGGCCTGGCGTCAAGGATAATGATTGGATAACATTTTTTGCATTCTTTATCCGAACCAGGAATCACTAACAAATTCACCAGAGGTTTTTCCTTTTTCTTCGCGATCGCTCGTTTTCTCGCATTTCGCGTTCGCCAAACCTAAAAAAACCTCTGGGCCAGGGTATGGCATTGCAGGAATTTCGAAAAACCGGTACTGTTTTCGAAAAACCAAACAAAATGAACAGTTGCTTAAACCCAATACGAAGGAAAACATGTTTGATATTACACCTTGCGTTTCTTTCCGACACGCAAGAATGAAAAACAGGCCCTTAGAAAATAGACTTCGAGATATCAACAAGACCAGGAGTCTTACAATTATCAAAAAGTCGTTTTTTGCACGCGTTTTATTTATAACTCATCGATTTCCAATTGGGAATTATTAACTCATTTGCATCTTGTTTTTGAAACAAGTCCTTTGGGAATTCCGAACACATATTAAACCACAGAAAACCTTTAAATCGTGTCCTAATTAGATGCCAAACATTCCATGTCTTTGAGTTAGCTAGTAATATTTGCAATCACTGAATAATTCGATTCTACACGAGTTATCCAATGTCTAGTGTGACTGCAACATGCAAACGAGCTGTGTTAACGTATGGCGTTCCGTTCCGGTCAAAATTATTTCAAGTCAACAAGTAATAGTCAAACATTATATCAACATGTTATAACTCTCAATACAATGTTGAAAATATCAAGATGAAGTTCAAACTCAAAAAAATAAAACGAAAGTTTAAAGCATATACTTCAAAACTGCAAAATACATTTGAAACCTCTAAGGATATACATGAAAATTAAACGCAAGTCCAAACTTTTATTTATAATACGAAACTCCCAAATGATAAGTCAAAGCCGCGGCTCATAAAAATAAATCGAAAAGTCAAAAATATAAATCGAAAGGAAACGGAAGTAAGCAACTTAATACAGAGGAAGTCAGGAAACGGAAGTTAACCAAGAAGCCAGCGAATGGATTCTTTGTTTTAAAGGGGGGTGAACACGCGCTGAGATATTTACGTATGTCGATATTAAAAAGTTAAAGATTTCGAAACTGACGAATTATTTCTCTCTTTATAAACATTGCTGACCTCGTCTTTTACAGTAACAATTACATTATTATATTATATTATATTATGATTCAACCGAATATCTTGCTCGCCGTCTGGATGTTTACGAGATAAATATTCTTGTACTAATCTATAGCCTGATGATCCTGGGTGATACTTGTGAGATACCACGAACAAGTAGATCAAGATCATTGTCCCTTATCGTAGAATGTGATTGAGTGATTCCCTGTTCGTATATAGCGGAGACAAAGTAAAATTAACGTCGACGTCGTCGTATTGCAC